CCCTTCTTGATTGATATTCTTTCTCTTGCTTTCTTTATGAAGCACTATGGTAGCAGTTGATCCGCTGTAGATTTCTTCCAGGATGTTTATATATACTTCATCGACGCCCTGATTCCGCAGTCTCTGCATGACGGCTGATATTTCTACTGAATGAAACGATTTCTCGTAATCTATGAAGACTAAGTATAGTATCTGGTTATATTCTGAGCATTTCTCTATTACCTGATTGATAGTATGAACGTGATCGATTGTTGAGTAGCCTGTTCGAAATCCTGCTTGTTCCTTTGGTTGATTGAATTCTAATGTTTTCTTTACTCTGTTAGCAATTAACTTTGTAAATAGCTTGTATACTACAGAGAGAAAGCTGATCGACCTGTACTTCTTCAAGTTCTTGTCATCTCGTGTCTTATGTATTAAGATGATGTTAGCGTTCTTCCAATACTCTAATACTTTTCTTGTCAGGAGACACCTCGTAAACAAGGGGGCTAGATTTCTAACACAATCTCTTCTCCATCTTTCGGCAGATCTCATGTTACCTAATCCTCACCAGCAGCTTTGCCTCTTTGCATGCTCTCCAAAGCTTTTCCGACTTATTCTATCATTACTGGTGGTGTGTCATCTGGATTACTTAGTTCTTATAGTATTAAGGTCGTGGTTGTTCCGGCTACTGTACAGATCTCTGTAAAACTCCTCCACCGTTTTAGCTATCCAGATTGGTAGTTATTTTGCCTTCTTTGTCCCTTAGTGCATACATCCGATTTTTGCCTATCCCAAGTTTACTCTTCTGCTTTGACGCTTCCTCCGTTTTTCAGAGCGTGTTCAATTTTTTCCATGTTATACCTTCTTACATCACATACCTTATGCCTATTAATCAACATTGATAGCTCTGCCAGTTCTATTTTGTCTGTTGCACTTGAGACTTTCATAATTTGACGCTTCTTAATGAAATTCTTCGTTTTCTGGGAAAGCTTGCCAGTGTCCTGTCTAACTACCCTGCCTCCAACTTCCACTGCACACTCCGTAATGATACTCGTCAGATTTTAATTCACTGTATCTACGCTAAGGTTGGTTTTCTCACGAAGAGCCGAGTACCTGTTCTGAAGCGAGACTCTGAATTCCTGTACATTCCCTCTCAGTTTAGATCAATGCATAATAAATCAGTTGCATTGATGAGTGGGAGTAAAAAGGACTATTATACACGACAAAGGGAACATCCTTATAATAACACGAAAAACGTTTGGTGAATAGTAAATAATTTTCTTGACTTGAAGTTGTGAAAGACTGTGTCTACTTTGGAGGGGTAATAACCGCGGAGCCAAACCACGAGATTGAAGTAACTAGAAGAGTTAGAATGGGGTTGAGCACATTCAGTAAGAACTGAGTGGTAGATGGTCACTATCCATTGAGTGGTAGATGGCCACTATTTCTCAAGAAGAAGGTATAATATAGCTGCATTTTGCCGCTACTTACTGCGGAGCGGAAACTTGGAGGCTTACCAAGAGGGTTCAGCTTAAATTGAGGACACCGCTGTGAGCGATGGCAATGAAAGTAATAGGTGTAACTTTAAGAAACAAAAATAGAGCAGAGTAGATTACGAAACAAACCTGGGTGAAGGATATCATAGTTAAAATCAAGTAGAAGGAATGGAGATGGACCGGGATGTAGCGCGCAGGTGGACTAACCGCTGGTTATTAAGAATAACTGACTGGATTTCCAAAAAAAGCAAGCTGATTAGACAGCGACAGAAAGTTAGGTGGAGAGATGAGATTAAAAAGTTTGCGGGTATACAACGGTAGCAGTAAGCACAGGACCGTGTTGGCTGGCGGTTCACGTGAGAGGCATTTGTCGTGCAGTGGACGTAGTCAGGCTGATGATGATAACGATGATGATGCTGATGATGCTGATGATAACGATGACGAAATGATATTGTTGGCAGCCCTCCTGCTCCTAAAAACAATTTCGTGACCAGGCCTATCCCCATCGATAGTATTCTGTTGGTATTTACAACTTCAATAATTGTTTGGTTCCGAGTGCTTGAGGACATCTTACTCTATCCAACGCGTGAAAAGAGAAGTATTTTACCATTTTCGCTTTTGAGTTTCGCATTTTCATCTCGTGGGGGTTTTAAAGCGTCTTTCTTTATGCGAGGGTGATCATGCGTAGTTTCTATGATGGTGTAGGCGTCGTGTGTGATTGCTTTACGAAAACGGTGAATTTCGGAGGTTTTTCGTGAATCTGGGCTAGAATATTCATATAATGACAACAGCACAGGCTCAAAAGATGACATCAATGCTTCTGTTTACAGCATGAACGACGATACCACGCCAAATTGTCCTGGAACATTCGCGGTCGTCCGCCGGTGAGAGCAGCTTTGTGCTCGGTCCGTGTTATGGCCGGCGGGTGTCAGCGTAAGTTGATCTGTATTGTTGAAGGCAAGAGGCTCTTATCTCCAAGGTGTTCAGTTCCTTCGGGTGGGACCACTTTCCGGCGCCAGCGCAGAGAGTGCAGATTCGAGCGTGGAGGCAGCTGGCAGCGCGGAGGCAACTGTGCTCCGGTGCGCCGCGCAGCGCTTCGCGAGAACTGTCGAATTTTTCTCTTTGTTTTTGACTACTCAAGTTATTGGAGAGAACACAAAACAACTGTTTTCATGGAAACATGCGCACAAAAACACTTTTTTAGCGCATCGTGAAACTTTTATTGTTATTATTGGTACACAAAAACATTTTCATTTACAGCGCTTATATTTACAGGATATTTGCGCGTTTCATTTGTGCTTATAATGCATATTTAGGTTTTTTATGCTTATTCTCTTCAAAGCAGTCCGGATGGTTTTATGAAATTGCTCTGCTTATGCTACAAGTTTTGTTCGTCTGATATTTGTTTTCGCAATATTGTTAACACTTGGTGCTTTAAAACTGGCTTTGTTATTGAAATATAGCTCCTTCCTGTACAATTTGATACATTAAACATTACCATCGCAAACTTTGGGTGTCATAAACAAGAACGTTTTATCGACTACCTAAAAATGTCCGCGTTCCCCGCGGTCACGAAAGTGAGGTGCTTCCCAATGTGACCGACACTAACACAGTTGAATTGTTTGACACTTACCTTATTCCTATTGGTTCAACCTCTGCAAGCAAATTCAAGGAGTGTAATGATGAATGTGGTCTCAGGAATTCCAATCCAAGTTGTTTTGTTGTGTATGACATTGACTTTGAGGATTTTGTATGCACTCTGCTAGGAACGTTGATGAATAAATTAGCAGGCTTAGATGGGATCACTGTGAGGCTTTTTAAAGGAAGTTTAGACCCGCATTGGTTTTGTGGCACATGTTGAACTACTTTGTACAAGCAGAAGTGTACCATTCTTGTTTAAATATCGCAACAGTTGTGCCAATATTAAAATGTGAATTATTTTCACCTCTTTATTACAGCCCAATAATTGTTTTGAGCATACTTATCAGTTGCTTCATAAAAACCTCGCAAAGCAGTTTTGATTCTTATAGTGAGATAAACAATGTTCTCCTTTCAAAAAGACAGACACAGACGAAATGATTGTACCTCCATCACTGTAATGAGAACTTGAAACCCTTAGTAAAAGTAAACCAACTTTATTGTAGTTCTTTTAAGACGATAGTCTTTCTTGGGGACCTTCGACACAAAACTTTTAGTCAGTCTGCCTGTCTATCTGTCTATCTGTCTTTCTGTCTCTCTGTCTGCACATTTGTCTGTTTGTCCACTTCTAACGCCACCGGGTACTCGAAACGGCTGACCCCATCCGCAGCGCCCACCGATGTTGCCTAAGGTTTACCGTTCATAGTTGTGCAATTGTCAATTAAAAAGGAATTATTGCGCATGTCTGCGGCACCATAACAACCCATATATATTCTCCATGTGCGTCTTTCACTAGAAAAAACATTCAGGACCGTAAAGCTTATTACGCTGCGCTGAACATGCAACGAGAAGACGAGTGTTATCAACGCTTTGCTAAAATGAGACTGTGGTGGCACCAACCCGTCGCCTTGCGTTCTACACCTTACCACCACTGAGACGGGCGCGCACACCCGTCTCAGAGCCACGCGCTTTGTTTTTCAGTAATACTGCCAGATGGCTCTCATGTCTCACGTGTGACGTGACTTGATGCGCTCGTTCGCCTCCGCTGCACGCTCGAGGCACGCTAACGCAGTGCCTCCAGAATACCAGTCACCAATTTTCTTGCGTGGAACATGAAATAATTGTTTTGTTTACTCTCTCCACACGGAAGACTATCGTCCTTCGAAGAAATTTGCAGATTACCATGCAGACACGGGGCCAATTATTATTTTTCGTCTGACTGTTAATTTCGTGTAACCAACCACTTCTGTTCCTGCACTCTTGAATAGCTCCTGAAGATGATGACGTTGCATGGTTTTCAGCATTTTAATTAATCTGGCGGTATAGCTACGAATCGAACGGTGAGATCAGTGTATTCATCTAAACTTGTTAACGCTGGTTTGCAGTTAGAGCCTATTACGTGTAACTTCTTGATGAGTACTTGTTCTTTAGTGCTATTCAATCATTCAAAATTCAGCTTTATCAACCCGTCCATCTCTTCCCTCTAGTCACTCTAAGTAAAACAACAGTGCTGTAGAGAAGCCTGAAAAACGTTTTTATTTGTTCTCAATTGATGAAAGGGATTGCATGTGAAACATTGATCATCCCTCTTTTGTACTGACAGCCCATAGAATGAGTTTCACAAAGATTTACGGCAAATGGAGGTTTTGAATTTAATTACCAGATAATTTATTGTTACAACTAGGATTCCAGAAAGAAGACATCTATACCATGTGCTGGTGTAATGAATACTAATTTACGTAAAAACATGCAGTTTCTGCTAAGTACAGAACGGTAATTATGATTGACAACAGCATTATGCGCAAATAATTCATCTAATAACAAGTGCTGTGACTAGGATGGTGATGCAATTTATCCGAGCATCTAACCCGGATGTCTGCAGCGCGTTCAACCCTTGTATCCATAACCGCCATATCCGTAGCCACCACCGCCCCCGTAGCTGCCTCCGTAGCCGCCTCCGTAGCCGCCTCCGTAGCCGCCTCCGTAGCCCCCGCCGTATCCGTAGCCACCGCCGTACGATCCTGCTCCGAGGCCGGAATGAGCAACCAGTGCACCACCACTGGACAGCTTGTTCACTTGGTGAATGGTTCTAACGAGGAAAGCTGGACCAGGCACTGCCTTGTATAATCCTGGTCCTCCACGCAGAAGGGCGACACTGCTGCCGACACCCACACCTCCGACGCCGCCACCGTATCCCGGCCCGTAACTACCGCCGTAACCACCAGCGTAGCTGACGCCGTACCCACCATGACCAAGTCCGTAGCCAGTACCGTATCCTAGGCCACCAGCCATGGTGGTGCCAAGGACAGCAAATAATATGGCGGCAATGACCTGCATAGGTAAAATCACGTTAACTATCACGTAAACTGTAAACTCCATGTTATGCAGTTATGTTGCTTCTTGATTATCATCATCATCATAATTGTAACTTATATTTCATCTAAAGGCTCCTGTCCGAATATTACATAATGGGGCTTCGTATGCTTCGTATGCAATTTAACTCTACATCTACCCTTCTATGGGACATGCTACCTGTTTCTATCTGAAGATCAAAGGAATACAGTGCGAGCGGATGGTTATCGTGAAATTCAAGTGGGGCTTAGAAGCACTAATCTGACTCAAGAATTTTTACTCAGGTATCATCACATTAGAATATTTCAGAATACCGATAATCGTTTGTACTGTGCTAAGTTGCATGTGACAGGAAAATACTTCACCCACGCATATGTTACAAGCAAACAAGCCAACGAATGATGTTCTTTCTTTTGTGACGCGATGTACGTGAGGAGATATTGACGCACCGATATGGCACAATCCTATCATACATTTAGCGTCGGCATATATACTAATAATGATTCCAGAATTTTACATCCCACAGCCATGGTATGAATAAAACTGACGTTGTATGAAGGCTTTCTGTTGTGTCCATCTAAGGAGGTTCATTAACACGCACTTAAATCTACGTGTACGAGCCTCTAGTATTTAGAGCCCGCCAAGGTAGGACTCGATCCCAATTCGATCCCGCCATGGACGATTCGTTCTCTCATTCTTTTGCCAAAGTAAACTAGCCACCATGGTAGAAATTTTTCAGAAATACAATTCAAGTATTATCGCTCATATCAAGAGCATCTCTTCAAGTCATCCTGCGGAAATTTTTTCTTTCGTTTTGAGAAGATTTGAGCCCTGCTTTGCCTGCAAAAAAAATAGTCTAACAACCTGTCCGAGCCCGACCGGCATTTACTTACCATTGGGTTCATGGCTGCTGTTCGATAAACCAGGTATGTGGCGAAGAATGTCCCTGTGGTGTTCAAATGCTCGTTTATATACTTGCAGTTCAGTGAGAATGACGCGTATTGGACAGCAGCACCGTAACGTGTCAGAAGATGCTATCGGAGCTGCTATGCGAAGGCAATCGCGAAGTAATAACAAAAAAAAACTGAATTCGTTGGACGAAAGTGGGCGCAGGAAAATTGTTCCTCCTACAGGGTCCTCGGTTCAACTAAACAAGAAACGAAGCATAAAAAGATGGAGAATAACGTACCGGCTCTCAGTATCGCTACCGCCCTTCGTATCTTCGCACTTGGACCCGTTTCCGCATGACCCATCGAAGGAGGGTGCTTGCGAAGTGACTGAATATGCTTCGCTTCCCTATTTTCGAAAATTGAGGATAAACATACGGATATAGGCATCTGAAGTACACGATAACCTAAATAGAACATCCAGTACGTGCTGCTTCAATTTGATAGAATCGATGTATTATTAGGAAAAAGAGAGGTATACCCATATAGGCAATGCTTACAGGCGTTACATAAACATCAGCGGTCAAATCATTTTATCAATAAAACATTTAAGTGCTCAATCGCTCTCCACCTATAGCTTGATTGTTTTCAAGGAGCTTTTGTGCGACATGTTGATATGTAAACGTCTGCCTAGGTATAAATATAAAAAAAAACGTTTATTCAACTTGTAACCGCTGCATTTCGTTGATTTTGTGAAGTTGCTCTTTGTATACGATTCCTATAGTGCTAATCTGAGCATTTAGGAATGTCGTTGTAGCTTGTAACATTCGAAAAATGCTCTTGTTAGTCCTCGTTGGGTAATTTAGTTGTCCCATTGTATAATCTACAAGCTCTTGCCTGAAGTTTAAAATCTCGCGAGCTCCTCCCACATATTTACCTACAATGCATTGTACATTTTGCGTGACTTATAAGGGATAACTAGCGGAATAATTGATTAATAGCTCTTGTTATCCTGGCTCAGAATAAAACTGATGCTACTATAGTTCTCATGCTAAAAAATAAAAAAACTGCTTTCTGCTTTGATAACTCATTTCTTCGTAGATCCTTACTAATTTCGGTCAAACTGCATGGTGGGACGGGGCAGGAAGATACAAGTGAGACAAACAAGTGCAATGCCTTTTTTGTCGTGTCTGCGCCTGCCGCGCAGTGAACTCTTACCAAGTTGCCCAACTTTTTTTGATTTTTGTACTTTTTAAAAACATATTTGTTGCAATTGCTGGTTTTCGGTTTATCTGTGAAATTTATCTATATATTTAACTTTATTTTGAATGACCATGTTTGTTGTTGTTTTTCTCGCAGTCAGATCAAGTGTATCGCTACGTAAATAATGCATAAAAAGGCCTTTCTTGTGTTACCTACTTGTCACTATATTTTAACACTTCCAGTCAAAAAGCTCTCAGTTCAAATTTGCTTAATTTTCAGTACTAATATATGTTGTACTGTGGCTTTTTTTCGTCACCTGGACTCTGTAGAGAATCACACATCCTTGTGAAGCATGAATACTCCGGCTCAATGGGAAAGAATACTTGATTGGTTTACGGAGCATTTGATTAATCGATTGGTTGATTGAAGGACTGAAGTTCACTGCGACATTGCAATCTGAACGCCGCGAAGGTTATTTTGTAGTAAGTTGGTGAACCAGAAGCTTACACGTGCCCGGAAACGACCACACTAGCAGCCAGATTTTCCAGGTCATTAACAAATGCACTGTGTGAGACTTGTTGTGAACTTATGTTTGCAGGCAGAGTTTTTTTTTTCGTTTTGAGTTTGTGTTTATCGAACACGTGACAAATACGTGCAAGCACACTGCATACGTTAATCGGAGCAAAGGGAAAAACCATATGTCACAGCTTGTCTGGTCCATTCAGCCACCGAAAAGCTCAAATTACAAAATTGCAAAAAATTACAGGCTGGTAATGGAAAGCAACAGTACAAAACAACACTCATCTGGTCTATGGCAGCAAATAATAGAATAACTCTCAAATACATACAAAAATATGCATAACAAAACGTATGAACAAATAAAACTAATTAATCATTATTATTCATGCACAACTCAATGAGCACATTCAATTTAACATGTATGTTTTAGATAGTATACACAGTTTACACAGTGTTATTTTTTTTGCCCATCCCGTTAGGAAGATCGTGACACAGCGTTTCATGCCCATAGTGCAAGGATATGTTGCATGCCAAGCTTCCGTATATCAAGTAACGTGGCATTCTGTTTTGTTAATGTGTACTTGGAAAGAAAAGCATATAATTCTACCTAAGAATTATTTTTTGTCCCAACTGTATTGGGCCTGGCAACCAGGGTATCCTCAAGGTGGCAATCGTACTGTGCATGCCGGCGTATTTATTAGGTGCAAGGATTCAATAAAACCAGTTATTAAAAGCATTTATTGAAACCAGACAGTGCTCAACTTGAGCACTGTCTGACCCGACATGCTATTTTATCGACACAAGATGTAAGAAGTATCTTATCACGCATACCGGCTTCAACCGAGCAGCTGCCCTGAAAGCGCTCCAGTCCCCCCCCCCCCCCTTCATTCGCTGGTACTCGCCGAGGCGCCAGCAGAAAACTGGAGCACTTTTAGCCAGATGATGGTCCGGTACTTCAAGGCAACTTCAGATGTGACTGAACGTTTGAGAGACCAGAATACTGCAGTCTTCCCTCACGTACAAGGTCAAGAAACAGTTGGTATATTCAACGCTTTTAAACTGAAATCAGCGAAGCGGGATGACTAAGAAATATGAAGAATATCGCGCCAAAATGAAACGAGGCCTACGAGCACTACATCTTCAGAACTCGGCAACAGAGGGATGGGGAGCCGTTTGAGCAGTTTCTGCGGGATGTCAAGCTGAAAGCTCAGAACTTTAACTGCAGAGGCTTGATGGAGTCAATGGTTGGAGACAAGCTTATTTGCGGAACGGCAGTCAAGAAGCTTAGGCCGCTTCTTTTACGGGAAAAGAAGCTGACACTCGATAAGGCAACAGAACACTTCAAAGCTGCAGAGCTAGCTGCTAATCGAAATCAGGCATGGGAGAAGAACGAGGCGAGGATGAATTCCATACGAAAAGAGCCACACCAGAAAGAAGTGTCCGCGAGAAGATAAATTCGTCAATTCCCCTACAATAACCACAGTCACGACCAAAGGAAATGCCCAACGGTGGGTAGAACATGTGCCATCTGCCAGAAACAAAACCACTTTGCAGCTTGCTGACCACAAAAATCGCAGTATATCCGCAAGGTAAATGATGACGAGTGGGCCGAAGCGGACGGACGAATGGATGAATGGACGCCCAGAAGCACGGGTGGACTGACGTACGTTTCACCCGGCTCATCACTATTGACTCCGTAGATAGGCTGTGACACAATATTTATTAACAGGCATTGCAATACAAGTGGCTACTACGACGACTGCGACGACTACAATGACAAGGGACATACTATCCACGGCGTAAGAGGCTTAGCCCCTTTTAAAAAAAAAACGTTGAAGAGGTTCACTGTGGTGCGGGCTGGGCACGTTCCCTTATTTTTTTCACTTTTGCCCCACAATAAATGTGTATGTCTGTTTCAGACTGAAGCGGAACCGGATGACGAACTCCAGATCTTGGCCGTGAGCAGAACGGCATACCTACGGAGCAAGACTGAATAATTACGGCAACGTTTCTAGTCACCGCGTACGGTTGAAAATTGCCTCGGGGCCACAGGCCACATTGCTTCTTCATGCCATTTTTGTAAATGTGAGCGAAGAATGGCGCCTTGTACCATCGTCCACGCTATTGACTAACTATGATAGTGAAGTGATAAAACACAATGACGCCGTGACACTCACACTGCGCATTGGCGAAATCGAAAAAGCGACTGATTTCTTTGTGGTAAAGAAAAAGTAGCAGCCAACACTGGGTCTTCAGGCTTGTGAACATTTAGAAGTTGTTGCAAGAATACAAGCAATTGCAATGCCTTCTGATTTGATGACTCAAGTTCTCGGTAAAGTTCCCAAACTTCTTTGAACGCCTACGTTGCTTCAGAGA